TTGGACGATTACAAGTGTCAAAACCATCCCCCTTTCAATCTGTAGTGTACAAGAAATTTCAAACTGACAAGGCTGTTTCATTTAGACATATTGGTTTGTACCTCTGAGTTGTAACTGCTTTAATCTAAAATATTCAAGCAGGCTTAATTCCTCCAGCTGTACAAGCAGCTGGGGAATTGGGCAGTATCAATAGAGAAGGAAACAGAGAGTGGGATTTCTTTATCTTCCTGAAGCTAAGCACTTTTTCTTTGCCTTCATAAACTTCAGAAATATTCTCTTAGGACTAAATAGTTTTTTAGCAGGTAAGTATTATTTTTGGGCCATACAAGTAAACTGCAGTTCAACTATTTTAACCAACTTTGTGCTTCATCAGGTAATAACACATCACAATCCAGTATTTTTTGGTTCCCTTTTTTACTTAGAAGATATTTGGTATTCTTAATTAATATTGCTTTGAGTAACTTTGTACCTATAGTAAATTAATTAGTAATTTACAAAGTTATTTTGATATTTAATTATCAGTGAAAAATACCCATATCCATTAAGATTTTTTTCTGTCACTTATCTAAAAATAACATAATATAAAATATAATATATAAGTTGCATGCTCTTAAATAATTTTAGATTTTCAAAATGTCCAGCTCACAGCTGGATAACCAAGTTACATAGTAGATGAGCAATAGGCTCACAGGCCAGACACAAAAGTTACAGGGAATGGGGGGACATCAGGCTGGGGCCCTGCCACTGGTGGAGTTCCACTGGGCTCCATCCTCAGCCTGGTTCTCTTCAACACCTTCACTAATGTCTTGGATGCAGGACTTGAGGAATACTAAGTTAGTTTGCTGATGATACTAAACTGGGAAGAACTGCCTACTCCCTCAAAGGCAGAAAGGTCCTGCAGAGACACCTCGACACATTGGAGGGATGAGCAATCACCAACCTGATCAAGGTTAACAAGGGCAAGTGCTGGAGTCTGCACCTGGGATGGGGCAACCCTGGTTGTGTGCACAGACTGGGGAATGGGAGGCTGGAGAGCAGTGCTGGGCAAAGGGACCTGGGGGTCCTGGTCAGTGGCAAGCTGAACATGAGCCAGCAGTGCCCTGGAGCCAGAAGAGCAAACCCTCTCCTGGGGGATTCAGGAACAGCATCACCAGCCAGGCAAGGGAGGGATTGTCCTGCTCTGCTCTGAGCTGGGGCAGCCTCATCTCCAGTGCTGGGGGCAGTTTTTGGTACCACAACATAAAAAGACATTGCTATATTAGAGATTCCTCAGTGTTTTCTTCAACAACCTCATGAGGGGCAGCAGAGGGACAGGCACTGATCTCTTCACTCTCATGACCAGCGACAGGACCCAAGGAAAAAGCCTGAAGCTGAGTTGGGGGAGGTTTATGTTGGATATTAGGAACAGTTTTTTCCCCCAGAGAGTGGTTGGGCATTGGAACAGGCTCCCCAGCCTGACAGAGTTCAAGCAGTGTTTGACAATGCTCTCAGGCACAGGGTGTGACTCTTGGGTGTCCTGTGCAGGGACAAGTTGGACTTGATGATCCTAAAGGTCCATTCAAACTCAGCATAGTCTGTGATTCTATGAAACTGAAAGGTGGGTTTAGATTAGGCATTAGGAAGAAATTCTTTCCTGTGAAGGTAGTGAGGCACCACCACAGGTCTCCCAGAGAAGTTCCCTGGAAGTGTTTAAGGCCAGGCTGGATGGGTCTTTGAGCCATCTGGTCTCATGGAAGGTGTTCCTGCCCATGGCAGGGGGGTCAGAATAAGATGAGCTTTAAGGTCCCTTCCAATCCAAAACATGCTGTGATTCTGTGATTTATAAAAGACCCAAAATTTAAGTTTTTTGTTTTGTTTTTCATTCTTTGGCCTACTTGAAGTAATTGGAATTTAATATACTATAATACCTAAAATATTGGACAAAATTATAATCTGATTCAATTAGAAATAGTACAGAAAAGGGATTTTATTAGATGTGGATCTGCATATCTGTAAATAGTTTAGTCTCCTATTTTTCTAAAGGACAAGCAAATTTTGTTCTTTAGTCAATTTGGACAGTCTTTACACTAAATTATTAGGTGAAAAAAAAGCAAAAAGTCTAGGAGAGTAAATCTGAGCTTTTTTCCCAGTAGTGGCTTATTTCAAAAGACCATACCTAAAATGCTGAGTTTTTATTGTACTGTGACATTAACCTGAAAATAAAATCTTTAATGCTTGCACATTTCTTTTGCTGTGAACTGTGTGAAACCCACTCATATTTAGAATAAGGTGTTAGAACGGGCACCCTGGTGGTCTTTTGAATGACACATCCCTTGTAGCTGTGTACAGACCTTTGTCTCACAGTCAGCCTTCTTTGCCCTTTCTTTTTTGCATATGTTCCACTCAAATCGGCCCATATACACTTCCCCAGAAGGAATGCTTGTGGTATTTTCTCCTAAAAACTCCATAGGCTATTATTTGGATGCAATCTGACTGTCAAGGACATTGCTGATCACAAGCTCATTAGAAGCAGAAATAGCTTGTCCCATGAGTTCCATTCTACAGTGACTCATGTGCAATGCTGCTGGAAGGGCTTTCATCACCCAAACCCAAATCCTGGATGAGAAATGAACCTCATGCAGCATGATATAGACCATTCATAATGCTATCAGAAGTACTTTAAGAACCTTTAACTGCAGAAAGTTTTACAGTCTAACTTCTATTTTCCATCACAGACATTAGGAGAATGAGTCTTCCTGAAAATTAAGTTTATCAGAAAGATCTGTGTGCAAACTAATTTGAGCAGGCATTTTCTAAAATGTAGGCCAGAAGAGAAGAAAGATTACTTCTGGCAAAAATGGAACAAATTAAATTATAAGAGGCTTAATACATTTATTTGAAATTTAATTGCATAACCTAATGTCAAGGTTATTATATGGTGCACACTGTTCTGATCCAAATTCAAAACAGTAAAGTACAATCTCAGTTTGAAGTTACTTTATTAGAAATCCAACTGCGTTTTCTTTTCAATACTGACCATAGTCTTTGTCTGAAGCACAACATTAATATAAAATCATAGTTTCAAATCATTTTGAGATGTCTCCTTGGCAATGAACTCAGATAAAACCTGAAGCCTCTTTGGCATGACTGACTTCTACAGTGAAAAAAAAGGGTAAAAAGAAAAACAAAAGCTGAGGTGGTGTTGACATGATGCCAGAATATAATGCAGAAGCAAAATTACTAGAATGAGACTCTGACTGTATTCACACAGTTCTGCACTGAGTCCACGAAGCCTGCAGGTTTTGTTTTCTAGTCACAAGAGACAGATTAGCAGAAAAGGTCACTGCAGCATTCCTGTGATAGAATCTCCATGGAATATGCATTCTGTGTTTTACAGTGTACTGGAAGCTGTGTCTGGGCAGAGAGCACACTTAAAAGCTTTCAGGCTGTGTCCAGACTCTCTGTACTCCTGAAGTCAGTCACTCCTGTCTGAATTACACGGCCTGACCTTAGGAGCTTTTTTGTCTGTTTTCAGATCTCCAAGTGCCTGAGTAAAGCTGGATCAGAATGGATATTTCTGCTGGTTTTGACTGGGTTAGAACTATTTTTCTTCATTGTAGCTAGCATACGATATATTTTGGATTTGTCTGGGAACAATGTTGATAATTCTGGTGTGGTTTTTTTATTGCTGAGCAGTGCTTTTGCACAGCTGAGGGCTTCTCTGCTTTTCACACTCCCTCACCAGTGGGGAGGCTGAGGGTACACAGCTGACCCCAACTTACCCAAGGGATCTTCCATACCATACAGCACTGTGCTCAGGGTACAACACTGGGGGAAGAAGAAGGAAAGGGGTGGACTTTTGGAGTGATGGTGTTTATCTCACAGGCCATCACGAAGGCAAAGGACCCCTGTTATCCTGGGCATGGATGAACACCTGCCCACCCATGGGAAGTGGTGAAGGAATTCCTTGTTTTGCTTTGCTTCTGCATGGAACTTTTGCTTTTCTTATAAAACTGTCTTTGTATCAACCCATGAGTTTTCTCATATTTACTCTTGCAATTTTCTCCTCCACTCCAATTTAGTGGGAGTGAGCCAGTGCCTGTGTAATGCTTACTTGTCAGCTGGGGTTAAACCACAACTGCATTCTTAGAAAATCACTGTGATTTAACTGTGTGCCACTGTGATTCTTGTGGATGTGCAAACACAGTCCAGGTTTGTAGCAGCATCATGTAAAAAGTACCATCTGTTTTTATTTCTGAAGGAACATGGAATAAAGGCATAATAAATAACTTTGACACTCAGCCTGGAACTATAACTTAAAATTAGGAGGCTTATAATCATGCAGCACAATATTAATTTGGTAATAAAAAATCAATATTGTACATTTTAAAATCATGTCATTTTTCAGTAAAGCCTCAAATAATTAAAGAAGATAATCTAATGCTGTTTGACCAGGTCAGAGGCTCTTTCAGCAGTACTAGAATATTGAATCAAGAGATGCAGTTATTAAAATATGGAAAGGTATTCTGAAAAATGGTCTATGCCTCCCAAGTCATGCAGATAACCAAATTCTTGTGTGTTTTTTGTTTGGTTGGTTTTTTGTTTGTGTTTTGGGGTTTTTTTTTCCCTTTACACAAAAAAAAAGACAACTTGTAAAAATCTTTTCTATGATTCTATTTCAGTGCTTGGGATAAGCACACTTTTAACTGACAGCAACCATCACTCAAATATCTTCTCTGTAATCACTCCTTGTCTGTCAAAACAAACAGATGTCTTGTGTACAACTCAGAGCTACATCCTGGGTCTGTGAAGCTCCCTATGAGCTTCTGAAGGGAAAAGTTCACTTTATTCTCTAGACACCCTGACTGAGACTCTGTTTTTAGTGAATTAAATAAACTGTCTATTTATAATCAGTAACCCCTTCTGTAGTAGATACATAAACAATGTATTTGTAAGACTGCAGTTAACATTTCAAAGAGGAAAAATTCAAGACGGCTCAAAGGAGAAAAAGTGAAGCTTACCCCAAACTCATCCCTCCACTGGTGTGATGCTTGGTACTTCTCTGCTTCTTTAGCAAGGCGCTGAAGAACAAAGAGAGAGAGGACATACATTTTAGTCTTTACTGATTCTTCACATAGAAAAATCTTTCTCTTTTACTTTTTTCATATACATGTTTTCTCTTTATAAATGTTAGATATCTAATTTTTTGCAGTTACTTGAAAATTATGTATATTTAAGTAAAGGTGAACCATCTCATCTAAAAAATGCTATTTTCTGTATTATTTGATATTTAAGTACTGTAATGCATTAGGAAACTTAACCATCCCTCCAACATAATTTAAGTAGTTCTAGTTAAATTTAAAATCTATCAATATCCTACTGAAAACACTTTCTCCTTACACACACTACCTTGTCTTATGTGCATTAATTTGATCTACCATCTTATGACAAGTACATTTTAAAATATTAAAACACCATGTTATGGGCATTTATTTCTCTATGATATCACGTAGCTTCAATTATAGAAAGTACTGACAGCCCTGTGATTATTAGGGACACATAAAATGTCAGTAATTTGGGACTAGTTGGAGTCTGATCCCATGGATTGAATTAGCAGCTGGAAAGTTACAGGCATGCTCTTAGAGGGCATTTTCTTCATGTTTAATACTTTAATGAAATCCAGAGTTTTTTCACTTAGCCCCACAGGAAGCAAAGCACAATGTACAGGAATCTGCTCTTTCAAATCCATCTCTTGTACAGATACATCCATTAGACTGGATGAGGTGTTCTTCCTCACACAAAATTTGAAGGCTTTGAAAAAAATCTGTTTGGACACAGTTCTTAGAAGTTTGCTACAATTTTGTATATAGAAGTTGCCAAGGTAATGCATGCTCTCCAGCTAAGCTGCACACGGATCCCCCATCCCACAGATCCAGCCATCCCTAAAGCAAGCCAGCTCACTCTGAAGAAGCAGCTACCTGATGTGAATGTAGTTCATGTGGACTCAGCCATGTCCTAATTGTTGAATGACTTTTCGAACTCAATTGTTTTACAGTCCAATAAAAATTTCAGCACCTGTTTTTAGGGAGTCATGGTCCCTTTCTAGCAGGTACAGCCTATGTCCACCAGATAAACAGGGATGAAAAAAATGCTTACTGTGTAACAACAAGTCTGTTGACCCTTTTAGTATTCAGACCAATCCCTACACAAAATGAACTGGTGTACAAGTTACACTTTCAACTGAGTCACCTTGTCAGTTATTGTTAACAGCAAAAGGAATATGACTAGAAAGCCCATGAAAGCTGGAGTTCCAGACATGATCCTGACCTCAGACCTGTTCCAGATTGCAACTGCCTGTGCAACCTCATCCCCTGAGGGCAACCCCTCTCCTGCTCTAGCAGTTACCAAAGTGAGTGATACATTTCAAAAATCAGAACTTAGGATCTTTTTCCTTATTTTTAGGTTTGAAATGATTCTTTAAAACCAGAAAGAAAAGTCAACAAACCTGTGTCCTGTACTGCCACAAAATGTGTCCCTATTCAAATTATTTGTCAATTCAGATGATTCTTAGCTAACTGAAAGCTACCAGCACCTTACAGGCACTGCCCATGGGAGGTATCCATAGTAACCAAGTACCACATTAACCACAGAAAAACTATGATATCATTTCATACATTATATTGGAAAAAAGCACAGCCCAACTCTCTCTTGACTGCACTGGACAAACGTCTACAGCATTTTTATTTTTTTTTGGTAATATACTAGAACCACTTTGTCCATCTAATTTATTCAATTAATCTTGCCCATTCTGCATCTAAATTTGAGTATCCTCTGATATATTCGAGATTATTAAGTCATATGTCACAAGATTGTAGCAAAGCAAGATATAACACTTAATACATGTGTAAATAGCTGCAGTTAACACTGCCCTCAGATTTCCTTCATATTCTGCTCCATTGCCTTAAGGTACTCTGAGAACCACAAAAGACAGCAGAACCCAAATGCATAAAATGATAGATGGATTAGGGAGAGAAATATATACTCATCATTAACATTACTAAGAATTTTCCATGGAAAGAACTGAAGCCATGCTTGAAATTCCTCAGTTCAAATGGTAAATTTCTTAGCTCATCTGCACTGTAAAAGGAAAATGCTTAAAGCAGATTTTTTAAAAATGTCGGTTTGGGTTGCTTTCTCTTGTCTCAAATGAAAGGAAAAAAAATAATATCTTTCACAAAATTGTTGGAATTTTTCAGTCAGGTTTCAGTTAGAACCCATCCTAACTGCCCAAGCAACTTTCTAAAATAACCCTACATGCAATATTCTACAATGGTTTACACCTTAAAATAGCCTCCAAAATAAGAGGCTGGCATTCAGGGCATGTGTATAGAGCTCTGTTAAAGGTAATCAAGCTCATACAAAAGTCCAAGAAAACTGTTTAAGAGTAGTAACCAATGAGAAAACCGTTGTTTATCGACACCTAAAACCTCAAACCCAACACCATAATGGAAGTACACATGACAACAAGACAGGAACATGTATGCAGGCTCGAGCAACTGGCTAGGACACCTTTCTGATTTCTTCATCACTGCTTACCTGAAGAATCTTTGCATTTTTCTCTACTGTCCAAAAATCAATATTTTTTTTGTTGTTGTTCCAGTTATTTATTCCATGTTAAAAAATTTGATCTGCAATGTATCCAATACTTTAGCTGGAATGTATATTTAGAATGTACTTCATATCACCCTGTGTCAACACTCCTCAACCAAAAATAGCTGGGCAGTTAAGCAAACTCAAGTTACCTGTGCCTTTTATTTGAGACACAAGGAGAGACTAATTTTTCATGTCTCAAAGAAATCATGTCTGCTTCTTCTCGAGGTATGCAAATGTCAGGTCTGGCCTTCCCTGTTTTGATGGAAGAGTCTCTGGAGAATGCTGACAGAGAAGCTGCCCAAGAGCCAGCTGACACCTGGCTCTTCCCATTTTCCCTCTCATTACAATGAGGGTTTAATAAGGCAACAGCTTCTTTAACACCATGACCCACTGCAGCTCCCTACAGGTTTCTACAGCAAATACTAAAATCCTGACATATATTTTATTTTATGTGTAAGAAAACAAGAATAAATGGTTTAAAACAATATTCTTGTGTATTAAAAACTTCTTCCTCCAAGCCCCATTTGCTGTGGAACAAACATGAAAGCTGTAAGATATTTTCACGCCTTGAACAAAGCTCTGTTTAACAGCATCTTCTTGCATACAGAGTAGGAAAAGCAAAACAACACTAAAAATGGAAAAAGAAACAAAACTAACATGTAACAGAAGTGTTCTGGCTTACTTCAATATATTTAAAGAACCTTACTTCGTGCAGTCGGATGGAGACAACAGATTTACCCTGAAGTAGTAAATAAATTGAGAAACCAGGACCATAGAGTGAGGGCTGCAAAGGCTAACAGAATGCTGTAGCATCTATCCATGTGCTTTTGGAGGATGCATGACAACTGTGTGATGGTGCTTTTTAAGTAAGGGATCAGAGGAGCTGATGTCAGATTTAGCCAGTGTCTGATGTCAAATTTATGGTGCTTGGAAACACCTTGATTAAACATACAATTTGTTTATTAAATTTTCCTAGCTTAAAAAATTACTTCTATCTTTTTTGTTGTTGTTGTTGGGTTTTTTTAATTATTAATGAGAACTGCTTTCTTTTTTTTTTTTTTTTTTCCATCTTTTACTAGGCTGTATCGTGCATTATTTTAAGGAATTTCCAGAATAATTAGCTCATCAATAAAAAAATAATTATCCCTTGAAAATCAGTCACTGCTCACAATAAGTACTTTTAATCAAATTTTGAAAGGACTCAAAAGGTGCCTTGCACTAGATTTCCTTGTACCTTTCAAAAAAAAAGGTTATCTTTAAAGGAAAACAGCTATTGAAAAGCTAGATAAAGTGCAAGTCTTAATTCACTCCACCAGCCTATGAATCTTTCTTTAACTTTTAAAGGGATTATAAAAGATTATACACAGACAAACACACAGACAATAGAAAAGCAAAATAACAACTAAAAAAGATCCAAAGCCCCGCTGCTTGTCAATCTCAAAACCCTCTATTTTCAAAGGTCTTGTCCCCAGTTTCCAAGTTCACGTTACTATCTCTGAAAGGCAGCCTTTGATGTGGCACAGACTGCAAGAATCTTTATCTGATCTATAAAGATCAACTCCCTAGAAGGCCTATTCATCTTCCAGCCTTCATTTTTTTACGTATATGTCATATTTTTATCTCCTCCTTGCCAGCACAGGATTCTGTCAGCAAATGGCCCAATTAAATTTATATTCAGTACAACGAAATATTTTTGTGCTTCCCATTTTCCTTTAAATGTTTTATTTGAAAATAATATTAAACTACTTCTTGATATATTAATCTATTATAGAATGTGCAATCTTAAGAGTTAATAGATATCAGTAGCCCCACAAAATTTATAAAATGCAAAATCCAAGGATTTTCAGGTTGTTTTAAGAAAATAAGTACCATGGGAAAATATATCAATATCAAGCTTACAAAGAACAACACAGAATGCACAATGACCTTCAAGTCCTGATTGTAAAATATTATCCAAATATTCAAACCTGTTCTTTCATGAACAGCATAAAAGCCACAAGTATGTGTAAAAGTGGTTTAATACATAGTTTTCATATATGTGTCTGAGATAACAAATAGTTTTCCTCCATAGTTGATTATGAATTGGATATGAATTACAAGATGAAGAAGAGATTTTGTATGACTCATATATTGGTGTCTGAAGTGTCAATGCAAGACTGATACTGTTATTTCAGTACGGGTTTAATAGAGACTGACAAAGTCTAAAGGATTACATTCTCATCTCAGTAAGCTGTTACATTCTATATTAAACCAAATCTCTTCTATCTTGATTCTAGTGTCTTTACATGCATAGCATTTTTTATATTTTCACAGGAATCTTGGTAATGAATTATCCAAATACCCCTGAACTACCCTATTCAATAATTGTACCCAATTATATAAAAAGACCATCCAGTGTGCCAAACAGAGTGTGATTTCAACTAACAAT